TATAAAATCAGGAAAAATGTATTTTGTTTATTTGGCTATGCTACAAAATATATTTAAATTATGTAATTGTTTTGACTTAATTTACATGCTATTTATTTAATCAATAATTTTTTATAAATTTTTTTAAGGGCATATTATGGGGTTTTTAAATGCATAAGTGCTTGTATATTTAGATATTTTTAGAGCTACAAGTCGTCTGCCCTAATCATATGCATCTCCTTTCAGTGCAATATAAATGTATGACGCATGTGACACGGAAACAAATAATTAAAGAATATTCACATTACAAATAGATATTATACTTTAATGTTTGTATTAAGCATGCGCAAGAGAAATGCAGTTTTTATTTTGTATTATTTTTATAAAATATATAGACTAAATTAAGTATGTTATATAATAATATTCATAGTTAAAACACAATATAAATGTTTTAAAAAAAAAAGGTCATGGGGAAGATATTATATTATTATACTCGCCTCCATTTACCGTATAATGTGTGAATTAAACTCTACTACGCGCGTGTTAAGTAAAAATGGTAAACAGTTTAGTCCATAGATACAAACGATAAAAAAAAGAGCATTATACGCGAGATAGAAACGCTCGTGTCCGCAAATTGCCTAATTGTGAGAAATTATGTTTTTGCGTCACGGATATCGTTTTATGCTCCGTTACACATTGACACATCGTCGTGACGCGTATTATACGTACCTACCTAATACTTGTCGCAATAAACCGATAAAACAAAAACGACGACGGCGTAGTTCGAAGGCGGGTAGGTAGGTACACACCCCTCGCMCRMGATCGCAACGCGTACGTATACGGTCGTCCACCGACCACCACATCTGCAGGGTTCGTCGGAAAATATATGACGAGGAAGACGAGTGATGCCACCAATGGATTAAAAAAAAAAAAGTCGAGAGTAATCGAGCCCAGCTTTAGTGCGGCGGGGGCGAAAAGCGATTGATTTCCAGGAAAAGTCACACGGTTCGAGAACAAAATCTATAAACGGTTCAATGCTCCCGCGTGCGAAAAAAAGTTCGATTCCGATTATAATTAACATGTGTGTTTGCACACAACGAAATCGTCGTWTTTCCTTGTACGCATCACACATAAATATATATATAATGTAATATTAATAACTCGCGGTATACTATATATATATATATATAAATAGCGTGTTATTCCCTAGCTGGCAAACCCCTTTCTCGGATGAAAACTGTAGCACTCGACGACCATCACCGTATCCACATAAATAATATATATATATATATATATATAATATATACATCGTCGTCAATCGTGTCGTGTGCGGTGCGATGATAACCGCCGAGGGGATCGGTTCTCGGCTAAATATGTCTGGTGTTTGCGGAGTTATATTATTCAATATATAATATTAATATGCATGTACATATATATATATACACACTTATATAGTTATATTATCGTCGCCGGTATATATACGCGCGCACTGTATGATGTYAGGTCGATGGGGTGGTTTTGGCGTGTGACCGTAGGCGGCGGCGATCGAACACAATGGTTTTGTGCGTGTGTGCGATGTACACGCGTGTACGTGTGCATGTGTGTGCGGCTATAGCCCGCGCCACGGGAACGGTCTCTCCCCCTCCCGAAAGCGGTCTCTCTCCGTCGGCGAAGAGTTCGTGGGAAATCGAGTCCGGAACTACTCTCACACACCCCTTCGCGACGTTTACCCTTATATATATCGCCACTTTTACCCATCCACCCGCCGCCGCGTCCGCACGCCCATTATATAATTACAAACATCGGACTTAATCTCCTRTGCACACACACGCATAAAAATGTTGTACTTGCGATTGCTCGTATTGTTCACCGTGTTACGCATGTAACGAGTAGATAGAACAGTGTGAGTGTGTATTGTGCGTTTCATACCTATATTGTTAAGTCTATACCTGATTCACCTCGCGCATATTACAGTCGCGTGCCCGACGTGTGCCTATATGTGATGTAATGATGTGATGTACACAATAAAAAGCMTTTTTCGGTCGCCAATAGACACCGCAGCTATACATAGGTGTACACGCATTGATACTATATATGCACGTGCATAGTCGTGTATAGGTATACAACACGCAGGTGCATAATACTATTATTTTGAGTGTTGTTCTTTCAAATTTTTACATGTTTACCATCATTAAAACATTTATAACCAGAGTTGAAGTCCGTAAGTCCATATAGGTTTTAAAAGATATTTATAAATTATTGTTATGGGAAAAATATTAAATTATAAAATAAAATCTATATTACTTTCTTTGAAGTCGCTGTTGTTAAATTTGGTATTTATTTAAGCACCTATAACATGATTAGCAGGATAAGCAACTGTTTCATTATGGAAACCGTCAACTCGATAAGGTGTCCTCGAAATTTTTATTTATTAATTAAAAATTATTTATCAAATTGGTTTATAGAATAAATGCATACCCAACGCGTATTTCACTCGTATCGTGTGTTATTCTAGAAGTATACAAACTTACAGAAAAACAGAGAAGTGGGTATACGCCGCGCGTATACCCGCGTATACGTCCCACTACACTACTGTTTATAGCAGTCATTGTCAACCTTTTTGGGTCCACGGCTCCTTTAGAGTTTGAATTAAAATATAGGTCTCCCATACGAACATTTAAAATAAATAAATGTACATTATTCAATCATTTTAATCTAACTTTATTCAATTGTTTTAATTATTAATAATAGGAATTTTTTTTTTGTTGAAATTTATGTTTTTACAATTTAAATTTAAATTAGTTTTAATTTCGAACGCATCTCTCTTGATCATAATCAACGACGCCCCAGGGAGCCGTGACGCACAGGTTGAAAACCACTGGTTTATAGCATTGTCGTACTCAATAGTACCTATTGTAAATTTGTTAGATTTTTCGAAAATATTATTGGCATGCATGCATTAATATGATTAATTATACCAATAAACATAGATTATAGTAGATAGCAAAGGTGGGCAAGTTAATGCAATTAATTTTACTCAAATTAAGTTAAGTTGTTAAGGGTTGGCATAAATACGTCATAATCGTTAAATTAAAACGTAAAAGTTAACAAATTATAAATTTAACTCGATAAGTTAACAGTTAATATGGAAAATAATATTGACTTAACTCGGTTTAAAAAAGTGGATAAACTTT